CAGCCCAGCCTGGTCTTCTTCCAGTCACTCCCTTGCCTACTGGTAAAATTCCCTGAGGGCTGAGCAACGGCTAACTATTTACCCATAAGTCTGCTCCCCGGCCACAGCAACGGGGGGGAACAGAGGCAGAAGAGGGTTACCTGGGCAATTGAACTCATCAGCTTCTTCCCGATCCCTTTTCCTGCGAGGAGGGTCAAGAAACAGAGAGCACAGCTTTGCAAGATGGCCTCCACAGGTGCAAAGCACGAGAAGCCACACCCACCCACCCAGTCCACACCCAGTCTCTTGCCTCCAGCCACAGATCGTGGCCTGGCCTGGCCTCTTCCGCTCCCTCCCCGTTGCCGGGGACTTCTGGAGGCTCATCCGGACATATTTCCCCTGTGGCGGTTCCTGCCAGTGCCCCCCGGCTCTTCCCCTCCCACCCCCACTCCCGGTCTGAATGCCGTACCCCGAAATTCTGGCATCACGTAGAGATCTTCCATGTAAATATTCCTTCCTTTCCAGGTGCTGTAAGTGAAGAAATAAAGGCGCGTAGCCGACGACTGTGTGGCCTGTAGGGAACACGGAGGGACTTCTGTGTTGAAGGGCCCTCGGGGGTAGCGGCCCTTGGCCACCAAGGCGGCCCCTGGGCCTGCCGCCTGCCCTCTGGGATCCCGCCCTTCATGCCCCCTGCCCCGGAGGTCTTTCTGACCCAGATCTGGCCTGACGCTGCCTGAAACCAAAGCAGAGGGCAAATGTCTTTCGGGGACGGCCTGAGAGAGGCGCTCTGGCCTCCTCTGCAAGGAGTTCTTCTTGGCTGCGGTCTGGCTGAGTGGCAGCGTGGGGTGGGGAGGGGGTGGCTGTTCGTCTTGCTGGGGCCCACTGGGGGGGGGCTTTCTTCCCCACGTGTCAAAGGGGGAGGGCACCTGAATAGATCACTTACCCTCTTGACTGTGGCACTCTGGGGGCACCTCGGCCACCAAGCATTTAATCGCTCGCTCACAACTTTACTGCCAGGAGCTCACAAAGTAGAATTTCTGCTCACAAGACTCCACAGCTTAGAGGGAGCCTTGGTCTAGGGTGCCCTGGACCATCCCCCTTGCGCTGTTTCTCCCCCCCTTCTCCCTCCAATCCCCACTGATGAACCTCCTGAGGGCACCTGGGTTTTGGCCACTGTGTGACCCAGAGTGCTGGACTAGGTGGGCCACTGGCCTGATCCAACAGGGCTTCTCTTCTGTTCCTATGTTCACCTACTTCTCTGCCGGATTCCACCCCGCTCTCCTTAAGTTCTACACCATCCCAAATACGAGGCTCCAGGTGGGAGTGGGGAGGTGGGTGCCAAGAACTAAGGCCCCTTTGCGTAGACTTGGAAGGCAGACCCAGACCCTGGGATTTAGTCTGACACCAGTTGCCTTTACATAATGTGGGCCCAGCTCTCCAAAAAATGATGCTTCACCTCCCCCCACCCTCCAAATAAGACTTTGTGAGCAGGTGGGAGAGGGTCACCTCCAAAACCTGCACCAGGAGTTTGGTCTCACCTTGGTCACTGATTTTTACCTGCTCAGACAGGTTCTCAAACTCTGCCAGTTCCTGGGGAAAGAGGGAGACACCATCAACAACGGGTGTACAAAATCGACAAGACTTCAAAAGTCCGTGGGACCCGACTCTGTCCTTCCAGGCTCCGAATCTGCCCGGGAATTCCACTCTGCACTCCGAAACGCACTTTCAGATTAAGCCCTGAGTGAGAGTCCGCCCCCTTCTACCCAGGGCTGGTTCTCCAACTGAGCTTCGGGTTGCACAATGAAGAGGGCAAGGACAAATAAATAAAAGGAAGGAGGCACTGAGGACCACCTCCTGGACTTACCTCACCCCCAGCTGGATCTAAGCCAAGCCCCCGGGCGTTGCTATGTGGGCTGGCTTGGAGCCAGATGATGGGGCACAGGAGAATGCAACGAGGGTCGAGACAGTATGCGAGTGCAATAAAAAACGGCCAACGCTATGCTGGGGATTATTAGGAAGGGAACTGAAAACAAAGCAGCCGGTATCATAACGCCCCTGTATAAATCGATGGTGTGACCTCATTTGGAGTTCTGTGTACAGTTCTGGTCACCACACCTCAGAAAGGATATTATAGCATTGGAAAAAGGGCAGAAAAGGGCAACTCGGATGATCAAAGGGTTGGAATACTTTCCCTATGAAGACAGGTTAAAGGGCTTGGGGCTCTTTAGCTTGGAGAAACGATGGCTGAGGGGTGACATGATCGAGGTTTGTAAGATTATGCATGGGATAGAGCAGGTCGAGAAAGAGGTCCTTTTCTCCCTTTCTCACAATACAAGAACTACTTCTGGGCACTTCATGAAATTGCTGAGCAGTCTGGTTAGAACGGATAAAAGGAAGTCCTTCACCCAAAGAGTGATTAACACATGGAACTCACTGCCACAGGAGGAGGTGGCGGCGGCTACAAGCATGGGTGGCTTCAAGAGGGAATTGGATAAGCATATGGAGCAGAGGTCCCTCAGTGGCTATTAGCCACAAGGTATAGGTAGGAGCTCTGGGTCTGGGGCAAGTGATGCTCTGTATTCTTGGTGCTTGGGGGGGGGGGTCAACAGTGGGAGGGCTTCTAATGTCCTGGCCCCACTGCTGGACCACCTGGTGGCACCTGGGATTTTCGGCCCCTGTGTGACACAGAGTGTTGGGCTGGAGGGGCCACTGGCCTGATCCAGCATTGGCTTCTCTGATGTTCTTATGAGGGTATCTCAGTTGGGGTGAGAAAATACGAACACGAGAAGCTGCCTGGTACTGACTCAGACCCTTGATCCATCAAGGTCAGTCTTGTCTACTCCGGCTGGCAGCTGCTCTCCAGAGGTCTTTCCCATCATCTCCTGCCTGGTCCTTTTTAACTGGAGATGCCGCCAAGGACTGAACCTGGGACCTTCTGCATGCCAGGCAGACGCTCTGCCATTCAGCCACAGCCCAACTTCCACTGGCCCTGCTTTTCTGGAGGAATGCAGGAAGGGACGGCAGCCAGACGTCTGGGTCCTCCGAGTGGGGAAGGCAGTCTGGCCATGGTGGGCTGGTGGAGAAAGACTCCTTGTTCCAGCTTGTGATGAAGGCCAACAGGGAGGGGGTTCATGGAGGGGACAATGCAGCAAGGACTCCTGAGACTTTGGGCAGCAGCCTTTTTTTGCTGGCAGGCTGGGTTGCCAATGGACTGGAAGAAAGGAAATCAACCCTGTTCTGGCTTGATCGAGTGCCTTGAACAGCAGCCTGACCTGAAGGCATCAGCAAGTGAAACTGTGCACTAAATGGGATCACCTGGCCTCCCCCCCCCCCATTAGCTGGTGGAAGCATTTTCAACACAGGGCCTTCTCCAAACAGTGCATGGTTCTCCCCTCCTCCATCCTCTCTCCACCACAACCACCCTGTGAGGTAGGCTAAGGCTGGGAATCCGTGCCTGCCCTGAAGTTATCCAGGGAGTGTCACAGTTGGGTGGGTGGGGATTCAAACTGGGGTTTCTGACATCCTGAGCACAGTGTCTTTCTGGCTCCCACCTTGGAGGGGAAGGAGACCAGCTGAGGTAGCCACAGGGAAGGGAAGTCCCACCCCAGCAACCTTCTGAAATTCCACCAGAGTCCAGAGAAACATCCAAATGAACTCGACCGACTTAAGCTTACCAGATTTCGGAAAGGGGAAAAAATTGGACGTATTTCCGGACTGACTACTTAGTGATTACTACAACAAATCACATTTTAAACAACCCTCCTATTTAAGCAGTGAGAATTGGTACTAACTAGGAATATTCCTAACTTTCCAATCCAAGAAGAGGCCACATTCAGCAGTACCCAAATGAAGACAGGCACCCAAAAAAGAGGCCATGTCCTCCAAAAAGAGAACATCTGCTAACCCTGGTATCGGCTCTCAAGAGCCAAAGAAGAAGAGAAGAGATTGGAATTATACCCGGCCCTTCACTTGGGAGTCTGAGTGGCTGACAAACTCCTTTCCCTTCCCCTCCCCGCAACAGACACCTGGTGAGGTAGGTGGGGCCAAGAGAGCTCTTGAAAGAAACTGCCCTTTTAAGGACAGCTTGTCAGAAGAACTATGGCTTGCCCAAGGTCATCCAGCAGCTCTAAGTGGAGGAGTGGGGGAATCAAACCTGGTTCTCCCAGATTAGAGTCCGTGCACTTCACCACCCTTTGTCAATACAAATTGGAACAGCGATCCTGCAGCTCTTGCTCTTGGCGTTCCAAAGGCCGATGCCCTCTGCTGGCAAGTGTTCTGGACTGGTAGACGTTTCCAGGGCAGCAGCCCCGTCTAGAGTGCATTACCAGGAGTCAAGCCCCTGGACATTGCTAAAATGTGGCTGACAGTGGGAGGGCAGCCCACCTGTGGAGCCGGGGAGGGCTGGGGTGCGACCGTGAGCCAGTCACTTTCTCACAGCCTCACCTACCTCTCAGGGCTGTTGTGAGGATAAAAAGGAGGGAAGTCACCGCAGCTAGGATTTTCTATGAAGGAGATTAGTCCTATTTCTGGAGGGGCGAGGTCTATCAACGGCTCCTAGGGAACTTCCATAGTCAGAGGCAGTCTACCTCTGAATACCAACCAGTGCAGCATCAAGGGAAGGTCTCATCCTCCATGCCCTGCAGGTGGGCCCCTGTGTGCGACGGGATGCTGACTAGAGGGACCCTCCCTGGGCTGAGCCAGCAGGGCTCTTCTGATGCTCTTACCATGCGAGGATAAGCTTTCCCTATTGAACCTCCCCATCCAGAGGCACTAAACCTCTGCGTCCCAGTGCCAGGAGGCCACATTAGGGGAAGGCCTCCCTCTCCCTGCCCTGTTGCTGGCCCTCCAGGGGAACTGGCCGGCCACCGTGCGAGCCAGGAGGCTGGACGAGAGGGACGATCTTGGCCCTCCACCCTGCCCTCTTTGGAGGAAGCGCAGGGGAAGCACGCTTTGCAACGCCTGCTGCAGATGTGCGGACTGGCCACCTCCTCCCCCGAGAAGCCGACCTTCGGGCGTCCCCCGCACTGGCATGGCATTTTATAGCGCCCCCCACCCACCCACCCGGCTACACGCAACCTCGCGCAACGCGCTTCCCGACGCCACCTCCGGGGCAGGGAGGCAGAGCGCTAGAGAGAGCACGTGGGCGGCTGCCTGCCCAGCTCCGGGAAGCCCAGCGGGGGCCGCCACCTGCGCCCGGGGGCCTACCCGAATGAGGCGCACCACCTGCCGGCAGTCCTCGGCTCGGCACGGCCGAATCACCACCTTCTCCGCCATGGCCGGCACGGCGCCGCCGCCTCTCTGCAGCCGCCACACCCCCCGCCGCGCCCCGAGGACTACGTTTCCCAGGATGCCCCGGGCGGGGAGGCAGGGGGAGGGCCAGGGCTCAGTCGGGCACCCGCCGATCCATCGATCCACCACCGAGCTTTGTTGTAGAGGGTGGCCATGGCGGTCTGCATGGGGACCGTTGGATGCGCGCCCGGTGTCCGACGAAGGGCGCTTTGGCCCTCGAAGGCTCACACCCCTGCACATCCCGTTGGTCTCGACCAGGGTTCCCTCTAAGCTGAGTTAGCGTGAGCTGAGCTAGCTCTTTAGCCTCCGGCTCACGGTTTTGCCTTCGCTCAGGGAGGACGGCTCCAGAGCCAACTAATTGATGCATTAGCTCTGCTGTCTTACCAAACCCACACTGGAACAGAAATCCCCATCTACATGGCATGCCACTTTCACTTCGATTGTCGAATTTTATAGCAGTGTCCAGGCTGCAGGCTGCTTTCGCTTCGTTGGATCTCTGGTTTTATGGTGGCCGTTTTATGGCCCTTCAGGGGTCACTCTCAGTGCAGCATTATGGCCGTTTTATGGCCATTCAGGGGTACCTCTGCAGTCAGTACAGCATACTTGAATTTGGTTTTGAGCAGCATCTTTTTCTGTTCCACTGTGGGTCTGGTACAACAACGGAGCAAATACTGGATGTGGATTGGGCCAAGAGGTACAACAACGGAGCAAATACTAGATGCGAATCGGGCCAAGAACTCCACAGCTTGGAGGGAGCATCGCTCTACTCCACAGCTTAGAGGGAGCATCGCTCTCGACTCGGAGCCAGCTGTTCATCAAAGTCTAGCTCTGGACCGGCCTCCTCGGGCGCAACCCGCAGTCCTGCAGGGAGACAGACGGACTCCTCGTGTCCGAGCGGGGGAGGGGGGTTGGACCTGCCCCGTCTGCAGGCATCCCTTCGCTCAACAAACTAACCCAGGGCTGCCTGTCATTTTGGCGTAGTGGTTAAGTGTGCGGACTCTAATCTGGAGAACCGGGTTTGATTCCCCACTCCTCCACTTGCACCTGCTGGTGTGACCTTGGGTCAGTCACAAGCTCTGGCACAGTTATCCTTGAAAAAGAGCAGTTTGTGTCAGAGTTCTCTCAGCCCCACCCACCTCACAGGGTGTCTGTTGTGGGGAGGGGAAGGGAAAGGAGATTGTTAGCCGCTCTGAGACTCCTTTGGGTAGTGAAGGGCGGGGTATGAATCCCAATCTCTTCTTCTTCTTCGTGGAAAGTGCCGTCGACTCACAGCGACCAATCCGGTTTTCAAGGCAGGAGAGGAGCAGAGGCGATTTGCCACGACCTGCCTCTGTCTGGCGCCCAGCCCAGGGCTTCCTTGGTGGTCTCCCCTCCAAGCACTAACCAGGGCCGACCCTGCTTGGCTTTCGATATCTGATGAGATCAGGCCAGTCCGGGGCATCCAGGTGAGGGCAAAAGACAGGCAGAGCGGTGGTTGGCCATGGCCTGCCTCTAGGTAGCCACACTGGACTCCCTTGGTGGTCTCCCATCGGCGTAGGAGCCAGGGCCGACCCTGCTTCTGAGAACTGATGAGATCGGGTTAGACTGGGCATTCCCGGTCAGGGCGTCAAATCTTTGCGTGTTCTAATGCCAGCTTCTTTACTTCTTGAATCGTCGTAATAAATAGTAATAGTAATAGTAATAATAGTGTTTTTTTAAAGGCTAACCTTGAGATTTCTCCTTGAAGAACTCATAGCACAATTCACACCCCCTTGCCTCTCTCTCTCACTCACACCCCGCCCATAAAAGTTCACCTGTACCGCTTCCCCATCATATATCTATCTGATGAAGTGACCCTCCAAAGTTCATATTGAAATACAAGGTGCTCGTCTTTTAAGATACCACTAGATATTTGTCTTGTTTTGGCAGTGGTTCTCCAGGGTCTCGGGCAGGGGTCTTTCTCATCCCACCTTGCTCGATCCTTTTAAATGGAGATGCCGGGGACTGAACCGGGCGATTCTGTATTCTAAGCCACCACTGAGCCCCTTCCCTTAATCCTCTGTATTGCTTCCCATGGAGGAGAAACATACAGACACCACCAGCCAGACACCTTTATTGGACAATCTCCTCCCCAAGGACTCTTCAGCTGAGATTTTGTATTCTGAAACGACACAGATTTTGATACCATTTATTTATTTTATCTTTCCTGAATTACGCAGTGGGCTCACCACTGGGATCAGCATGTCAAAGGTTTGCCAGAATGGATTCTTTTGCAAAAAAGACATCTCTAGCCCCACAGTTTGGAGAATTTTGGGCCAAGGATCGCAAGCACCAGGACTTCAGGGTGTCTTTCATGGGTTGGAATGAATCATGGGGCAGGGAGTACGCTAGGCTTCTATGGGACGAACTGAACGATGGAACTGGTGGAGGGATTTTTATGATCCCGGGAGGTGCCATGGTCTAATGGGAGGGGAACTGGGAGCCAGAGGCTCAGAGTTAACTGGGAGTGGAATACAGCATGGGGGGGGCTTGCCGCCTGGAGCTCCTGGGGCCCGTAGGCACAGAGGGTGGACGGCCACTGCCGGGGGCTTGCAGCCTGGAGCTCCTGGGGCCCGTAAGCATGCCGAGGCTGCTATTTTCTCCCTTGCTCTACAAGTTTCTGGATCTGTTCCCTTTCTATGCTACAGAGGTTCCAGTTGTCTTGAACGGTGACATTCAGAGCTCCCAGCTTGGTGTAGAAATCCGTCGCCGGCTGGTTCCAGTTGGCTGAGATGAAGCGGATCTGGGAGCAGCCCTTTGCCAGCGCAATCTAAGGACGAGAGGGATGGAGAGAGGGGGCTGTGTGCGTGGAGGGGCAGGGGGACCCAACACGGCCCTGGGGACAGTCGGGTGGTTTAGCCAGGCGAGTCCCCATCCCCGCTCTCTCACCTTGGCCGCCTTGGCCAGCAGACTGGAGCCGATGCCTTTGCCTGTTGGGGACAATGAGAAAGGTCATAGTTTGATCACAGGTAACCTCTAGCGGCTTCCTTTGGGCAGGGAGGCGGGGAGAAGGCACCCGTGATGGCCACACAGTCATTACTAGAACTGTATCTGGGGTTCACACTCCCTAGGTGCCAGGGGCAACAACAGCCAGAGGAAACTGTTCATTTCTCAAGCAAGAGATACTCAAGCCTGCTGATCTGAAAGCCTTCTGTGAACTGGGGCAGGAACTGGATCTGGGGGAAGAAGAAGAAGAAGAAGAAGAAGAAGAAGAAGAAGAAGAAGAAGAAGAAGAAGAAGAAGAAGAAGAAGAAGAAGAAGAAGAAGAAGAAGAAGAGGAGGAGGAGGAGGAGGAGGAGGAGGAGGAGGAGGAGATTTGATTTATATCCTGCCCTTCACACGGAGTCTTAGAGCGGCTTACAAACTCCTTTCCCTTCCCCTCCCCATAACAGAGACCCTGCGAGGTAGGTGGGGGCTGAGAGAGCTCTGACAGAAACTGCTCTTTTCCAAGGACAGCTCTGACAGAACTATGGCTTGCCCAAGGTCATCCAGCAGCTGCATGTGGAGGCGTGGGGAATCAAACCCGGTTCTCCCAGATTAGAGTCTGCACGCTTAACCACTGCACCAAACTGGCTCTCTCCAAGGGACTTGATTACACCAAGCGAGGTTCACTTCTTGTGCAGCGAGTCCAGAAGGCAGAGACCCTTGATCACTTTCCACCAATCTCCAGCAGTGAGAGAGAAACACTCTGTGCATGCTTAGAAGCATCCCAACATCCTTCTCACCTCTGAAACCTGGGAGCACGTAGAGATCTTCACCAAAGAGAATATGGCCATCCCATGTGCAGTAGGTCAAATAATGGAACTGGTACCCAACAATTGTGTCACCTGGGCAGGGAGAGGAAGGGGAAACCCATCGTCAGACGAGGAGACGGCTGTCTAGGTGGCAACGGCCCAGCCGCGGCCCTCTCTTCAGATTTCAATTTTGCAATTACTGTATTTGCTGAACTGACAATAATGCTACATGATGCGATTTAATCTTCTGCAAACAGGGAAGTGTTCACTTGCAGTGCATAATTTATTACACAGTCAAGTCGCAGGATCTCATATGGTCCTGGCAGGAACGGTGTGGAAGGAAGGCCTGGGGGCTGGCTGGGGGGTGAGCCAGCGGACGAGACGACTCCCTTCCTCCCCTGCACCTGCAGCATAAGCTATTGCCACAGAAAGAGAGGGGAGCTGCAACTCCCAGTGACAACATGAGAACATAAGAGAAGGGAATGTTGGATCAGGCCAATGGCTCATCTAGTCCAACACTCTGTCATGCAGTGGCCAAAAATACCAGGTGCCCTCAGGAGGTCCAACAGTGGGGCCAGGACACTAGAAGCCCTCCCACTGTTGCCCCCCCCCCCAAGCACCAAGAAGGCAGGGCATCACCTGCCCCAGCCTGTGGGTTCCTATCTATACCTTGTGGCTAAAAGCCACTGATGGACCTCTGCTCCAGATGCTTATCTAATTCCCTTTTGAAGCCGTCCATGCTTGTAGCCACCACCACCTCCTGTGGCAGTGAATCCTATGTGTTAATCACTCTTTGGGTGAAGAAGGACTTCCTTTTATCCGTTCTAACCCGGCCGCTCAGCAATTTCATGGAGTGCCCACGAGTTCTTGTATGGTGAGAAAGGGAGAAAATACCTTTTTCTCGACCTGCTGTATCCCATGCATAATCTTATAAACCTCGATCATGTCACCCCTCAGCCGTCATTTCTCCAAGCTAAAGAGCCCCAAGCGCTTTAACCTTTCTTCATAGGGAAGGTGTTCTGACCCATTTATCATTCTTGTTGCCCTTTTCTGCACTTTTTCCAATGCTATAATATCCCTTTTGAGGTGTGGTGACCAGAACTGTACACAGTACTCCAAATGAAGATGTTATCCTTCAGAAGAGCCAACAGGCTGGATTTTTGCTCAGGTTCACAGCCTGATAACTGCTCTGCAGTCCTGGAAGGCGACAGATTTCCCTCCCTTCAGACTGGCCAGGGGCTTTCTGTTTTGTTCTTTAACTCCCCTTTACAGCAGAGAGAACCGCCATTTGTACGGTGCTTTCAGAGTGCTTTGCCTACATTCGCCGGAAATGGATCCAACACCTCTGTAAGGTAGGCCAGGTTAACCTTCACTTCCACGCTGCAGTTGCAGGTCTTTCAGAGTGCTTTGCCTACATTCGCCGGCAATGGATCCAACACCTCTGTAAGGCAGGCCAGGTTAACCTTCACCTCCACGCTGCAGTTGCAGTTGCAGGCGCTGCGAGTGGCCCTGGCTTGTCTGACACAGGTGAGGACCAAACTGAGGACACCTGGCTGCCCCGACTACACCAGGGTCTCTCACTAGCCAGGGCTTCTCCGCCATGAATCCTGCTCTAGGTAAGGCTGCCTCTCAGCCCACAGTTTGGGGAGGCCCTTGAAGGACCAACTCCATGGCTGCCGGCAGCTATCCTGGACCCTCCTTGCATAGAAGGTCCGTGCAGGGGTGGCAACCAGTGTTCCCTCTAAGCTGAGTTAGTGTGAGCCAGCTCACAGTTTTTTAGCCTCCGGCCCACACATTTTTGTCTTAGCTCAGGAAGGGTGGCTCCAGAGCAAACTAATTTATGCAGCAGCCAAATCGCTCGCTCACAACTTTAATGCCAGTAGCTCACAATGTTGAATTTTTGCTCACAAGACTCCGCAGCTTAGAGGGAGCATTGGTGGCAACCAGACAGACGCATGAAGCTGCTTTATACTGAATCAGACCTTTCGCTCCGTCAGGGTCAGTCTTGTGTACTCAGACTGGCAGTGGCTCCAGGGTCTCAGGCAGAGGTCTTCCAGATCACCTCCCGCCTGGTCCTTTTAACTGGAGATGCCGGGGGTTCAACCTGGGACCTTCTGCATCCCAAGCAGATGTCCTACCACTGAGCCACGGCCCCTCCCCAACCCCCAAGTCACTTGAAAGCAAAGCACAGGACTTTCCTGGCCCTGCGAGTCCCAGAATTTTGTCCCAAAGGTCTCTGAACAGCCCTCGTGCTCTCTTACCCTCTTTGCTTCTCTGTTCTGGGGGCACCTCGGCTACCAGGGACCCAAAGGTGGCATCTTCCCTAAAACCGTCATCTCTGAGCACTAGGGAGAAAACATTGGGGAGGGGGAAATAACATGATTTCAAAAAATTAAAATCATAAGGGAGCCCCCGTGTCGTCGCTTCAAGTAGGCCCAAGTGGATGTGCACTTTGGAGTGGCAGCCTGTCCCAGGAGGGTGGGACGGGTCGGGGTGGGGTGGGGTAGGCCTAAAAGGCCAGCTGGGCTCCCCCTCAGTCTGAAATGGCTTTTCTAGACTTCCTGCGATCCAGGAAGAAGAAGAAGAGGAGGAGGAGGAGGAGGAAGAGGAGATTGGATGTATACCCCACCCTTCACTACCCAAGGGAGTCTCAGAGTCAGTTTGGTGTCGTGGTTAAGTGCGCGGACTCTAATCTGGGAGGACCGGGTTTGATTCCCCACTCCTCCACTTGCACCTGCCTGGATGACCTCGGAC